TCCCAACAGTTGACAAGAAGGTATGAGTGTCAACAGAGGGAAAATTACTTTTTGTAGTGACCCAGCCACTCCCAGTCTTTATTCAGGCCTAATTTAATGATGTCCAGTTTGCAAATTAATTCCAGTTCTGCAGTTTCTCGTTGAAGTCTGTTTTTGAAGTTTTTTTGTTTAAGAATGGCCACTTTTGAGTCTATTATAGAGTGTCTAGGGAGACTGAAGTGCTCTCCCACTGGTTTTTGAATGTTACAATTCTTGATGTCTGATTTATATCCATTTATTCTTTTGCATAGAGACTGTCCAGGTTGGCCAATGTACATGGCAGAGGGGCATTGCTGGCACATGATGGCATATATTACATTGGTAGATGTGCAGGTGAACGATCCCCTGATGGTGTGGCTGATGTGGTTAGGTCCTATGATGGTGTCCCTGGAATAGATATGTGGCCAGAGTTGGCAACAGGGTTTGTTGCAGGGATTGGTTCCTGGGTTAGTGCTTCTGTTATGTGGTGTGTAGTTGCTGGTGAGTCTGTGCTACAAAACTAATCATCAGTAAACAAGCATTAAAAAGCCAACATGGGGAGCAATCCTGCAAACTCTCACTAACTAGATGACTCTGAACCCCCAGTGAAAATAAATAACCTAACTTTGAAATATGGGAGTGTGTGAAAGTTTCTCAGATTGTTCACTTCTTTCACCCCACTGCTCTGTATTCACACTCAGGGTTCAGGAAGGAATTCCTTGCAGGGCTTTTGGGGTGTTTTCACATTCCTCTGAAGCACTAAGCAGGAGGACTTACCCCTTAGAATCAGGTAGGCATATCCCACACCATCCGTTCTTTGAGTTTGCAGGAGTAAAAGTCTTTTCCACCTTTGAATCTTCTCCATCTTCTGCTTTTATAACTCACTAATGGCCAAAGAAACTGTTTGGTTTTTTTGGTTTACTAAAACAAAACATTAGCTCTCAGGCTGGGCTCTTAAGCACAAAGTTTCAACCACATTTCTTTTAATGGGCTGAGTTATAAAATCCCTGAAAGAGGAAACTTTGAATGGAACCACTCCAAGACAGTTAATTCTAGCAACAGGAACAGTGTCACTGGGGTGGCACTTGGGTTCACGATTACCTATATCCAAAAATAACAGGATCTTGCACGATGATGATGCTGTCACCACATCACAGGGCACACGGTCACTGGGGGACCTCAGTGCCCTGGGAAGTGCAGTAAGTAAGTAGCAAAGCCCAGCAGGGAGTGTTTTGCTACTTTTGGAAAAGGGATTTTATACAAGTAAATAAGGAAAACAAGCTGTGCATTTTGCTGAGCATTACAGACATGGACATGACATCACTAACAACCAATCAGAAAGCTCCAGCTGTGTCCAGAGTCTTAAAGCCATTTAGCAACTGGTTAGATGTCGATGCTGAGAAGCAGAATAGCATCAGTTCTGACAATATCCTAAGCTGGAAGTGTTTCTAAAATGTAACATTAAGCATGTCAGTGCTTTGCCCTCACTGGCTCCAATGGACAATGCCCCAGTGTTGTGGTAATCTAGGTGATATATTGTTTTAGGAATGAACCTGGGATCTGGCAAAGATGCTACCAGTTATGTGGCCTCTCTAATAGCAACTAATTTTTAAAGAGAAATCTCAGTTTCCCAAACTGCTCTGTTCTGAGAGAAGGCGGCATGCCTGGGCCCTGTCCAATACTGAGCCGCGATGCATTCTCAAAAAGGAAAATGAGACGGTTAAAGGGACCTACGGGCGTTTTCCAACCACAAGCACAAACTCAGCAATGCTTTGACCAAAAAGAGGAAAAAAGCAGAGAAGATGGGAGGGGCCATATAGGAATACGGCCTTCCAGACTATTAGAATGTACATTTCACCTCTCACTGATTTTTCAGCATATTATTACAGCTATGAAACTGCCCTCAGATTGTGTTCACATACACTGGGGTTTGGTGTTTAAGTTAGGGGTAGAACATTAAAAAAAATAATATAGCCAATAGTTTTTCCTTTGATAGCCCACAGGGTTTATAACCACACTTCTGCCCCAAGTGATGGTGGTCAAAAGACCTACAGAACACTGGAAGAGCTTCCCCCACTAGTTTACCACACGACCAACGCACGCTTATAAATTATGGGTTTGGTCCTGTGAATTGCTGAGCAGCCTGAACCCCACCTGAAGTCTCTTAAAAGTGAGGTATAAAAAGACCAGAGAGGAAAATTCTACACGTGTCCACATAAAACTTGCTTGATTTTCTTCAAACTAGGTATGAACTTTCAATTTCAATGATCCTATGAAACAAGCCAAGTTTCACATTTCTAGTTTCAGATTATTTTATTTTTTTAAGGTCTCTAACTGAACATGGGAGGAGACAGATTTTCATACTGTATTAAGATATAGGGCCCTCTGTGAACTTTGATACAGGAGTCATTGCACTCTCTACACAAAACTGAACTGATCTGGCTAAAACTTATAATAAAGAACCAAACACCTTTAGGATGAGATGAAGAATGGAAAATTTCACCAGTAAGGAGGTTTGTTTGAGAAGGTTATTAGCGACTGAAAAGCGGAAGAGAATCGAAATTAGACATCAGCTTTAATGACAGTGCAAGCTATTCATGGCCACTGTACTAGGGTAGTGAACTGGTCAGTGTGTAGGTGTAGCACCGCCCACTACACGAAAGAATCAATACTGCTTCAACTGTGTGTTATAGACCCTGTTCTGCTAACAGCTAACAGAGATTCTCCTTTAGCTCCAGTGGTCAGGGCCTGTGCTTGTGAAGCAGGAGGATCTATTGTCACTATGAAGTACCAAGTGGCCAAGCTGTGCAGCAGAGTGACAACCATGAAATCCTAGGTGGCCACAGATGCTTTGTAATGTACAGGGTTAAGCTTCAGGGCCTGTTTCTGCAGAGCAGAGAGCATTCCCTGGAGAAAATTCTCAGTGCTCCAACTAAGAGGACATTTTTCTCTGGTGGGATTATGACATCATCTTATCTAAACAAAGAAGAGAAGCTTCCCACCATCCCACTCTGCCATGCTATTTGATATGGTTTGAAAACTGTCTTACTTTAAAATACAAAGAGAAAACTGCTGCCATACTGGAACCCTCCCTCTTTTCAATGAGCTTCTGATTTCCTGCTCAGGCTCATCCCCGAACAACAACATTTTTTTCTCCCACCAAAGGGTTTTTGAGTTTGTCTGAGGTGACACAGTCCACGCTCCTTCCCACTCCCATTTCATATTACAATGAAAGATGTTTCAAGGGCACAGTTCCCCCATGCACCACCTGACCTGAAAATAACACAGCCTTCAGCCTTTTGTTAGGTTTCAAGCAAAAGGTCACTGCTTGGGACAGCATAGTCACATTCATAAAATGGCTAACGAGGCTGGTACTCAAGTAATGGCACAATTCGAGCCTCCTACACAGCTTGAAGGCTGATCTTCTTAGAGGAAATACATGCATACGTGCTAGAGGAGATGGAGGTCAAAAGAAACACTTGCGGACCTTATGCTGAACTGCGTGCTCTAAACATAGCCCATTCTGCTGCCTCTGATAGGAGATTTACAGACAGAGACTGCTGGGAATGGAACTGCTTAGTTATTCAACCCACATCCAATGGCAATCAGATAGTGGATACAGCATTAATAAGAGAGATTTTGACTAAGAAGGAGGCTGGAGGGACAGAGAGACCAAAACACATACAGTATATAAATATGTTAATGCCATTGTTGAGGTAATTATTTCAGTACTTGAAACAAATGGCTTGAAAAATCGCTTGAAAAAAATAATCCACTCATTTCCTGCAAAAGAGAAGCACATTTATCTTTCTTAATTAGGTAGCAATGCAGAACTGGCTATCAGGCTTAAAAATAAAAAAAAATGGTTAATTGTATACTCTTCTTGTGCTGCACGCTGGTGAAGTCAGATAAAATACTTTTCTTGTCACTGTTGCTGACCCATGGGAATACATTTGTGCAGTACATGACTTGAAATTCAATGTGTGGTTTATATTAGTTTACTCTGGTCCTCCCAAGCACAATGTGAACACACAACGCGTGAAGGCTCATGTGCTAGCAAGTGTTTCAATTCCAGTTTCCCTGGGACATGCCTCTTCTATTCAGCATCAGTCAATATTTAATAACTTTTCGGTATTCCAGACCAATGGAAAGTGGATGAACCTTCTCAGAAAGAGTGAAAGGAAAAAGGTAAAATGCACTGAACCAAGGCCATGTATGTCTTACTAAACTGGTGCATTTATGGAAGATGCTAACCTGAAAGGAGTGTTTGCCATACTGACTTTCTGCTTCAGTTTTCCCCCACAGCTAATCCTTCTTCTGTTACAGTGCTCACCTTTCTTCATTCATCCTCCAAGACAAAAATCACTGACACAATGCTATGACACGATAGTGTTACAAAGTTGTGGCATTGCAACACAAGAAATACACTGCAGCATGATGATGAATTTCAGAATGTCACCATCCAATGCAGAGTAAATCTGAATTTCTCAAAGGACCTGATCCAAAGCCCATTGATTACAAATGACCAACAATGCAATATCACCGGACATTAAATAAATACGACAGGGAATAATGCTGCACCCTTTGGGGAAGGGATTAGGGCAGTGGTTCCTGGCATATGTATCAGGAGCTGGCCAGAGGCTCCAAGGCAGAGGGCTGGAGCAGCTGGGCAGCAGAGCGGCGGGGGGAGGGGCACCTGAACACAAGTCACCGGATGTGCGTGGCTCTACTAATCAAGTGCATGGCACCTGACTGACTCTTGTGCGGCCGCGCAGGTGCACAGCTTAGGGGGGGGACACTGTTGGGAACTTTAGGACTGAATAACCTAACAGAACTTTTCCATCTCTAATTTTTATTCTATATCTGAACTCTGAAAATTGGGATCATCCTGCAAACTTCAGGAGGGCAGGTGACTCTGGCTTCCTTACCATTCTAAACCATTTCTACTTTCACAAGACACATTGATTATCTACAGTACTCACTGCATGTCGCTTCTGATTCATCAGACCCGTCAGGGCATTCCTCTTCACCATCACATTTCCACCTGGCTGGGATGCAGTGGCCATTGTTGCAGGTGAAGTCTGATTCTGCACAGGTTTTCTTCACTGCAAGGAGGAAACAAAAAACAACATAATTCAGTTCAGCAGTACACACACTCTACACTCCCTTGATCCCCACTAAAGGGAGCACCATACTTGTCATCCACACGAGGAAAAGTAATTTCACATTCTACACTGGCTTCTCAAAGGCAAAGAAACAAGCTGGTATCACAGAAGGATGCTTTGTCTCTGGACTTTGAAAATCCTATGTCCCCAACTGTACAGGTCTTTAAAATAGACTCACTCATTTCTATTTTCATTTAGTTCTAGCTAAAATGAGTCAAAGTGGGGAATACTTCATTGATGCCAGCATAACTAGCTAGCTTTATTATAATCACTTGTTGTTATATGAAACTGAAAATGTGCTAGATGATTTACAGGGAGGTAAGAAGACAAAGTCCCTGCTTTTAAGTGTATTACAGTCTAAGGGTACGTCTTCACTCCCGCCATATCAGCGGGTAGCAATCGATTTATCTGGGATCGATATATCGCGTCTCGTTAAGACGCGATATATCGATCCCCGAACACGCTCACCGTCGACTCCGGAACTCCACCAGAGCGAGCGGCGGTAGCACAGTCGACAGGGGAGCCGCGACCGTCGATCCCGCGCTGTCTGGACCCCAGGTAATTCGATCCAAGATACTTCGACTTCAGCTACGCTATTCGCGTAGCTGAAGTTGCGTATCTTGGATCGATCCTCCCCCCCCCCCCCAGTGTAGACCAGCCCTAAGTAATTACTTCTACTTGTCTAACTTACTCATGGCATTTCTAGCCTATCCATCACCTTAGCATGCAGTCACAATACATGCCTCCAAATACCATGCAACTTTATGAAAAGACCATTGAAAATAAGTCCAGTTGTATTTGTAAATCTAAGTGACACCTCTCAGCTATTTAGTTTGTCCATGTGAGTCTACGGCTTGAGAAAAGTGCTGTACTGAGGGACCCTGGAAATTAACTTCTCTGTTAATCTACAGAACTGGTACTCCACAGCCAGTGCCCAGCAGTACAAGACTTTTCACACTGCCAGGCCAAAAGGCCTCAAACCTGACCTGAAGAAACCACTTCTCAGGCCAAGCTTAGAATTCAGGCTCTACGGCCCATTCAATTCTTGGCCTCTTTGCTGAAACTACCAACAAGGATGCCAGTTAATGACATTGGTGGTGGTGGCTTTTGTGGCTGCTCTACTGGGAACTGGACTGAAACTGCCAAATTCTTTACACATGGGCTACCAAACAGCAATTCAATGGCTTCTGGTCACTTTCAGTCACTACTGACACATAAGGTCTTAGAATGGGTGTCCGAGAGGTGAAAAACTCCTTTAATCACACATACACACACACACAGAAAAGGGGGCACAGCACTGTGAGGTGGTGGCTAGGTTTATATGGCTTAGATCTAGTATTCACTTTCTGTTTCATAAAACATGCAGCTTCCCTGCTTAGACATCCCACAAGGAACTGCTGTGAAGATCATCAAACATATGTGTAATCTATCCAGACGTGCTTTCTATATGGAGTGTGTATTTATTCCCCTGATACACATGAGCCAGATACGGATTTAGATATAGGATATGCATTTCCCTTCATCTCATAAAATCACAGATAATGAATATTAATGTAGAAATAAGACATATAGCCCAAGATTTTTTTAAAAATAACTAGTGATTTTGGGAGCCAAACCTGAGATGTCTCAAAGGAGTCTGATTTTCAGAAGGTTCTCTGGAAAGGCCTCTTGAAGGTGTTTCAAATTAGGTATCCAAAACTTGTAGCACCCAAAAGCACAAGTCATTTTGGACAACACAGGCCACTACATATACTATAGTCATCAGTTCTGGATATATTAAGCCTGGGGTGACAGAGTATAACTCACAGGCCGAATGCGGCCTGCAAAGTTCTGCAATGTGGCCTTTCACTGCTCTCAGTACAGATCTGTAGCCAATGGAGACTACCACCCCAGCATCCTAGAGAAAGGATTCTCAGATCAAGCTGAAGCACTGCATGCTGAGATTTGCTCTCTCTGCAGGCTGCATCTCCATATCAAAGAGAGGACAGATTTAACCTGCTCTATTGTAACTCTGGCTAGATTCTCATGTGGCACACACCTGAGCAAACTTTAGGCATTCCCCCACTTTCTATTAAAATCTCTAGGTGGAGTTAGTAGTATTTCCTATTAGATGAAAGTCGGGCACTTTGTAAAGGAAACAATCATGCTTTTACTCAGAATACAAATACCAGATTTTACTTTAGTACAACACTGGACACACATGGTAGTTTATTTTTTTGCTTAGTTTGTGTTGTTTCTTCTCACAATGTTATGTGACTTTCTAAGAAAGAAAGTGCTTGTGCATCTGCCTCTGTCCTATTCCACGGTGGTATATACAGTGCAGGGCCGCCCAGAGGGGGGGGGAATGGAGCAATTTGCCCCAGGCCCCGGGCCCCGCAGTGGCCCCGCGAGCCTTGGCCCGGTGGCGGTCTGGGTCTTCGGCGGCATTTCGGCGGCGGGGGGCCCTTCAGTGTTGCCGAAGATGTGGAGCGACTGAAGGGCCCCCCACCGCCGAAATGCTGCTGAAGACCCGGACCGCCGCCGGGTTAGTACAAGCGCCGCAGCTCCCCCGCTTTGCCCCAGACCCCCTGAATCCTCTGGGCGGCCCTGATACAGTGACATGATTATTTGTCCACCTTGCAATGGAACAGCAATTCCCCAATTGAGAACAACATTCTGACCAGACGGGTACATGGAACTGAAAGTTTAAGTGTTCATCAACAGAGATGACAAAGAGATATGCAGTCCCTTCAACAACACAAACCTGCTCACAGCAGATGGTACCACTGAATGCTTTGTTCCCTTGACACTGTTCTTAAGCAGTACAATTAATATATTATTGGGATTCATAAAAGGGAGAAGAAATACATTATTGACAATCACAGTGTGGCATCTGGAAGGTATTAATGTATTCCTTGTGTGTAAACTTCCTTTCTGCAAAATGAAGGTGCACGCAACAGCCCTCTGGCATAACCAAAGGGAAAGGCATTCCCGTTAGATAGTCACCCAGTGGTCTAATAGTCCAGTCCTAGATAAATCAGCAAGAAAAGAGCAATGCATTCTGTACTTTAAATACTAAAAATTTAAATGTGATCCACGACCACAAATTGACAATGCTGTATTTTTTAAATCACGTTTTCCCCTTAGAGAATGCCCTGGGGGTAGGGGCTCCTTTTATAGTTTTAACTGCCCCCCTCAGAAATAGCCAGGCAAAACTAATTATTCCCATGAGACCTACACAGAATTGCTTCCCTTTGTTGTAAACAGAACAAGGCAGATTTGTTTCCATAACTCTTGAAAAATGAAAGTAAATAAGAGATTACGCACTTTGTGCAGCCACTGTGGTTCTCCGAGATGTGTGTCCCCATGGGTGCTCCGCTCTAGGTGTGCAAGCACCTCTCGAGCCCTTGATCAGAGATTTTCAGTTAGCAGTGTCCATTTGACCCGCGTATGCGCCCTATGCCTCCTTGTACTGGATAACCAGGATATATAGGGATGCGTGGGTGAAATGCCCTCAGCTCCTTCTCCATCCAAACATCCCCCAAGGAACAGTCCAAAGCAGAAGGGAAGGAGAGTGGGTAGTGGAGCACTCACAGGGGCATGCACCATGAAAAACTTCACTTACAACACAACACGAGTAACCTCTTCTTCTTCAGTAGTGTTCTTATGGGTGCTCCACTTCAACTGACTTCTGACCAGTATCCCCAGATAGAGGAGGGAATTTGGAATAGAGTCCAGAATTGAAAATAGCACTGCAGAACCAAATGCTGCATTGGTCTGACTGCATGGATCAGGACGTAATGTTTTGAAAACATATGCATTGAAGCCCATGTAGCAGCTCTACATATTTCAATACAGTCTTCAGTAATGCCGTAGACATTTCCTGCAATCTAGTTGAATGTGCTATCACTCTTTTGGGGGGAGGGAGGGATGAATGTTCGCAGCATCGTCATAACAAGGGATATCTGGATGTATTATTAATCTCGCTAGTCTCTGAGTAGAGATTGATGACCTCATAGATCTATCCAGGAAGGAAATGAAGAGCTTAGGTGACTTTCTAAATTGCTTGGTCCTATCTGGGTAAAAGGCCAATGCCCTTCTAACATCCAGGTTATGTAAGCAGGATTCCTGTAGAGCAGTGGTTCTCAACCAGGGCCCCTGGGAGGCCGCGAGCAGGTTTCAGGGGGTCCGCCAAGCAGGACCAGTGTTAGCCTCGCTGGGGGCCGCTGAGCAGAGCTGAAGCCCTATTCTTTGGATTCAACAGATAATCCAAGATGACTGAATGCGGCACCGAGTTAGGAAGGAGGCAGTAACAACACCACCAATGGAAAAATCTCTTCCACTTCTGCAGATAAGTAGTGAGAGTTGATCTCTTTGTACTATTCAGTAACACCTGTCATATTTCCACACAACAGGAGGATTCTAACCCCGTGAAACATCAAGGAGCCACACCAAGGTAGAGAGCCACTAGGCTGGGATGAAGCATATGACCCACATCCTGTGAAAGGAGATGAGGAATGGTTGGGAGCTTGAATGACGGTTGGGCATATAGGTAAAGCAGGTACAGGTATCAAGACTGTCTTGGCCATGTCTGCACTTTAAGGATAACTTGGCTCTGTCCTATCTGATCTTGTTCATCACCCTTAGTATCAGTGGCATCGGAGGAAATGCATAGAACAGACCTTTCTTCCAAGATAGAAGAGTGGTGGACCAGACCTCCTCTTGAGCAGAAAAGAGGACACTTCCTGTTCCTGGAGATGGCAAAGAGATCCACCTCTGGCAGACCCCATCTTTGGAATAAACTGTGGAGAATGTAGGTTCTAGTTCCCATTCATAATCCTGTGAGAAGTGTCTGCTGAGGACATCGGTGTGGCATTCTGGGAGGTATACCACTGAAATTTGGATCTGATGAGCTATGAACCAATTCTATAGTTTCATGGCTTCAGCACAAGCATCTTGCT